CTGCACCTTGGACAGGATCTGTCCTCTGTATATTAGGAAACACTCTCATCAAAAGAAAAAATAGAAAAAATGCATTAATGTGATCAGGCTTCTTCTTCCCTCCCCAGGCTCATCTTGCACTACTTTCTCCTCACTACATTCTGTCTTTCTATTCCTCATACACAAATCTCCAAAGCCTGTTCCCACACTAGATCTTTGCTCTAGCTGTTCCCATGCCTAAAATGCTCTTTTCTCTGATCTTTACACAACTGGGTACCACTGGCACTCAAGCTGAAAACCTCATCTTCTTGGAGAGGCCTTCCATGAGCACCCCACATGTTTTACTGTCCTCAGCGGCACATAACTGCCCACACTGTATTGTCCATTACTTCTGTCTAATTGAATACAAATTCCATGAGGTCAGGGATCGTGTCTACTTGATCAATGATCTCCATAGCCTACAAAAATATTTGGCACATAAGATGCTCAAGAAATGTTGCTGCATGAAGAATGAGCAAATGGTTATGTGAAGGCCAGTGATGTCTATCTCACCTGATAATTACAATAGAAACAAACCATTAGAGAAACAATTTCGAGAGAGAATTCAAAGCCTGAATTTGTTAAAGTTTCCTGTGGTTAAAGCTGTATATACATCATTTGGATTTTCCCTTTCTTCCCTCACCTTTAAAAAAAAATTTTTTTTTTTTTTTGGTGGTGGTGTGAGTCTCTGAACCTGAATACCTTCAATTCTAATTTGACTTAGGTATGTAAGAATGCCAAATCTAGAAAGGAAAACGTTAAAGCAAAAGGCTCAACAAATTAATGAACTTGAAGAAGATAAATATCCATTCCAGGAGAATACTGAAGGTCTGATGTGAAATATGAGAAGTACAATGAAATGAAGAAATTGAGTTCTGCCCATGCTACCTTACAGACTGCCAAATCCACATATATGTAAGACAAGGCAAAGCCTGAGGTAAAATCTGACAGTAAAGATATAAGACATTTTTAGATTTGGATAGTTTATTACTTACAGAGGCAGTGAAAAGAGGAACGAGCCAAAGGAAAAAAAATGAATTTTAAATTCTTCCTCAGCTCTGATCTGTGATAATCAGAATTTTTGGTAACATCCATGAATCCAGTTGCAAGATGAACTGGTGTCAGCTGTGACTTCACGGATTGTACTGGTTTGGTACATACAGCTACAAAAATTCCCCCATCTCAAAAGGTTCTGACCTAAGCAACTTTGGAAATGAGGCTTCATCTGTAAGACTAAAGGTAAAAGGAACTATACATAAACACCACAACCTTGTTAATAAAGTTGTTTTCTACTTTTGGTAGGTTAACATTTCTGGTAACTGCCACATGTATACTGAAATGACACAATTAATTAAATGGATGGCAGACAGTGAGAACCAGGTTTCTCACTGTTGGAGAGAGTAGTTCACAGCTAAACAAGGGGAGGAAGGCAGAATGATCCATGGTAATGGGTTATAGATAATAAAGGTATCAGTACAAACTCATATTTGACTTAATATAGATATAGTTGTTACATACAGCAATTTATAAACAGCATGAATTTGTATTTTTTGCTAGTCAGCTGAAAGAACCTATAAGAAATTACCACTAGAGAAGCAACAAGCATACATCCAGATCTTGGAATCTAATTCCATTCTCCAGTAGAAAGACAGGGTGCCATGAGCAATGGCTGATTCTAAGATTGGGGTAGGAAATATACAAAACAAGTCTGGCATATACTGCAGTGCCAGAAAGTAAGAAGTGTGCTCACTCTCTCACTCTCTCTCTCACAGACACACACACACACATACACAGAGGTCGGGATATGTTAAAAAAACACAACCAACCTAAAGAACTCCATGGCTTCTATGGACAAAGCTGGAACAATTTTAGCAACTAAATAAAGTCATATTGGGTTATAACCCCAAGTATAAAGTAAGTATCTATGACTCCATTTTGATAAAAATGACTGACTGAATGAATGGATGAACATGCGAAGGAGAAGAGGCAAGCCCCCTGCAGAAGAATTCCGAGTAGTTCATACAGCTGCTTGGCCTTAAGGCTGGGGAGCATGACTCTCCATTCTTAAATGTGGGCTGTGCACAGTAGCCTCCTTCGTAAGTATGGTAAAGGAGCAATAAAGAGCAACTTAACGGTGGAGAAACCTGACAAAGACAATGTCAGCCAAGTAATCAAGGTCAGTATCAATGGCACTTTACCTCTGTGATCTTTCTTCTGAAAAATCCCTAATTCCAGTCTAATCATGTGAAAAACATCAAAACAAATTCTAACAGTGGGCATTCTACAAAACACTCGACCAACTCTCCTCAAAACTGTCAAGGTAATAAAAAACAAAGTAAGTCTGAGAAATTGCCCCAGCCGAGAGCAGCCTAGAGAGAGAGGACGACTATATTAAGGTCCTAGAACAGAAAATGGACATTACATTGAAAACTAAGGAAATAAACACACTGTGGACTTTAGCTAGTGATAAAATGTATCAATATTGGCTCGTTGATTAAAACAGATGCATGGTACTACTACTGTAGGATGTTAAGGACAGCAAACTGGGTGCAGGTTACTTGGGCAGTCTCTGTACTATTGTTTCGATTTTTGGGTCCATACAAAACTGTTCCAAAAAATAAAATCTGTTTTTAAAAATTCCCTTCCATTTCTCAACTCTTTGAATAGGAAGTTAAAAATTACAGGAACAAGGAATAAACATGTCTTTAATTTTTCTACATCTTCCACTGCCAATTCAGTCCAACATTTGGAGTCCCTATTCTGTTTCAGAACTAGGACCTCGGTCCCTGCACGGTTTAAGGGGGGCATAAGGTGGTGAGAAGAGATCTTTGGAGAGTGAACTACAGCAGGAACCTAAAGAGGACTTTAACAGAGCGCTTAGCTCCACCACAAGCCTAGAGCTCACGCTTGTCTTTTAGTAGACTCAGTGATTTCCAGCAGTTTCCAGATGCACGCAGGTGGTATATGAGGGTGAGCACATCTACCAGGGAAAACAGGAGAGCAAGATGTCTTCAGGTCACCCTCGCAGAGGAACTGGAGACCTGAAGTAAAGGCTGCCTGGACCAGAAGCCAGTGTTCTCCAGCTCTCAGATCCACACCTGATCGATACCTCCCCATATGGTCAGTCCCAAGCTCCTCTCTAAGAAAACACTAAATCTGGCTACTATGGACTTTCCACTTTAATTCAAAGTTGGCCCTTCAACTTTCCCGTTTTTCAAAGGGCAGGGAAAACTCATTTTACAAATGAGATTTCAATGTGTACGATGTGAATTAACTACATCAATTACACTACAAACTTAGAAGTTACCCAGGAAAAGCCAAGTTTCTGATGTCTAATGTTTTTGTTGGTGTTATCTTTCTCAGTAGCTCTGTAAATCTTTTCTGAATAAGAAAAGCCATAAACAAATTAATAAAAGAAGGTTACCAGAGGAACTCTGCCTTGTAGGAGTTCAGAATGGGCCCCAGTTGAATGGTACTCAGGTGTCTTTATAGGCAGATAAAGGGCTTTCACCACACAAAGACTAACATATTAAATCCTTCAGCCACTGAGATGGCAACTTCGGCTGAGAGTGATCTTGGTTCCATGGGGGTTCCCACATCTTGCCTGGAAATTCAACCACAACAAAGCCAGTCCCAGTGCCAGGCCCACCCAGCTGGGCTCTCCAAGGGCAGGGAGCTGGGCTCTGAGACATCTTCAGTGCACACTCACAGCCTTTGAGTAATTGATGTATGGGTGTAACTCAAAGAATTCAGATATTCCTGCCATAGAGAAAGCTGACAGTGTCCTGTAAGGAAGGAGGAAATCATCCCAAGTACTATTAAATATAAACAAAAATAAAACAGTTCTCCTAGCACTTCATAAATTGCTCTTTATCTTCTCAGACCATATGTTTGTACAAAAATTGCTGTAAATGAAAATGATACAGGTATAATCAATGGGAATTATATTTCTGACCAAGGAGTCACTGCCCAACTTTACAAAAAAAAAATTATGAAGATGAAAATGAATCAACTGTTTGCATTTAACCATAAATAAAATGTTGTGTGCTTTATGATTATGTGACATACATAAACCAAAGCAGTGGGGTTCAGTAACAAACTGTATTGTATTTAACAAATCGGGGACAGAGTTACATCTAGTAGGGAGAAGGGCTCTGGTACTGTGCAGAAGGAATGCAAGGACTCTTCTGAGCTGTGCCAGCAGGAAAGGCACCTGAGGCTTGGATCCAGTCCTCGCCCCCTGACCACCGACCAGCTGGCCTGTCTGGTGAAGGTGCCATGTATCACTGGTGAAACCAGAGGGGTGCTCCTCGTCTTGGGTGGAAGGTGAGGCTGAGTGTCTGACACGCATTCATCAGGCAAAGCCCTATACCTCCAGGTCCTCAAGTTCCACATCTTTAGTGCACTACCTTTCTTTTTTTACAGCTTGGATCTGAACCACAAATCAAAAATAAAAAGCAGAACCATGTAAAAAAGCAGGAACCAAGAGATCTTAAAAGCAGTATTATAAAAGTTTAAGGCTTCAAGTAAGGAGAGAAAGGGTCCCTGAGATAAAATCTAGATCAGCATGACTTGAGGACAGAAGAAAGGGTGACCATTCGGCTGGCAGGCTTTCCCACAGTCCTGGATAGATGTACTTCCACAGACACTTTCCTTCCTCTAATTAATACTCAGTCCTCAGAGAGCAAACCCCCAGTATAAATTATTTAAGGAAACATCCCTCTATAAAGATATTTCTCAAAGTACATTAGTTGCTTACGAGTTTGGGTATCAGCAGAAACTTGTCCATGTTGCACAATCACTCCTACATGCTGAACATCAAAGTTTAGATCTTTAGATATGTAAGACCATCTTAGAATATGGAGAAGAAAAAAATAAATAAAAAGGAAGATGAGGCCTATCTGTCTTCTATTTTCCCAACTACTTCACCATTATGGATGGTTCACTCTGTTAGTTAAACCAATAAAAGAATGTACAAATACCTGATCGAGCAATGCCACTGTCCCTATCTTCATTCTGTCCTCTGCTTGGCATGTCAACTGGAGTACTATGCGCTACGATAAAGAAAAACGGAAATCACATTATTGGACTCTCCAAAGAAGTTGTTTCAAAACAAATGCATTAATTTTTCCATTTCAAAGTAGCTACTGCTATTGATGATTGTAAGTTTACACAGAGATGAACTAGAAAGCAAAAGGAAATACGTAAAAAGATGATGGCGAGAATAAGAAGAAAACAGAATTAAGTAACAATCTGCCTTTAATTATCCTATTGTAGCACATAATTTTTCTGAGTAACGCTCATCTCTAAAAAAGCTGAATAATAAACTATTCATGCAGTTGATACAAGGAACAAACATTCTCAGGCAAACACTTTTATCCATTTTCCTCATTATTAGTAGTATTTAAATAGTACTGCATTTTCAAAATGATTTACAATCAGTTTCAGTAGTTAACTATAGGCAACTTAGGGAAGAAAAAAATACTTGAAAACCATTGCATAAATTAAAAAAATGTTTCTGTTTATAACCCACTTGCTTGGCAAATGGAAAACACTTATATTCATTTTCAAATATTTCTTCTTCCACTTCTTTTCCATGTACAACCATACAGAGTATTATTGTACAATTACTTAGAAAAACTCATGTCCTGGCATGAATTTTAGAAAACACTCTAAAAGTACTGCAGACTCCTAAGAATCCCTCTGATTGATCCAAACTATATATTTATTGAGCTACAGGGTAAGTGACGTGTTGCTATAGTAAGCTTTATAAGAAGCTCTGTGCCCTGCCTGATTATTACACTTGCCAGCTATTTTTTTGAAGCATGTGTATTTTCACAATTTTAAAGAGAATATATAAACATGTTGTCCTCACTCTAAGTAGGTGGGAGGATGTCAGTTAACTGGCGCTTAGGGTATTTCAGGCTATAAAAAAGAACAGAATGAAGAATACCATTTGCCATAAACACAACATTTAATGTTAGCAATTAAGGTACCTCACACCTGTTAATCATGCCAGGCTACAACAGACATTCAACAGCCTCAGTTAGCAAGGCCAGTTAAATCTCAGAATTCACATACCCAGAAAGATGGAGATGATTATACCTGTAAAGTACCTAGAAACTTTGTTTAAATCACATAAATGTGAGAGAGAGAGAGAGAGAGAGAGAGAGAGAGAGAGAGAATGTCCATGCTCTTATTACAGTGACTTTTGAAGAAATTGTGCAGGTAAGGATGCAGGTGAATAAATCGATCAAAGATCCCATGGCAAAGAGAAACAGTTCACAGCAGCAGAAGAGGCCCAGGAAAATCAGAAAACATAATCCTCTTAGAAACACGAGGGGCTCATTTCAGATCAAAATCAGCTTATACTTGGGTATTAGTGAGGACATTTACAATAGAGGCTCATTGGTTGAATTTTCAAAATGAACTTGGCTGCATTTGAAACTAATATATCAAGAGCCCCTTGGATTTCTAGAGAGGCACCAAATTGGATTTTTTTTTTTTCCGTAAGAACCTGTACAGGATTTGTTAATCTGTGTGTGGGTCACACTGTGCTCAGCATTCCACACAAACCTGCGAAGAAAGAAGCACTCCGGGTGAGCCGGAGAGGTCCTCCGTCAGCCACCCCCGGCAGCAGTCTGCTGCTGCATGCTTGCAGCAGGCCTAGGGACAGGAACACACGCAGGAGGGCAGAGCACACACACAAAATAAACACAGATTAAAGGTAATGCCAAAAAAATCCCCAACAACACAACAAACTCAAATGAAGTGAAACACATGCCCACAATAGTGGTACTCAGAGAAACCCATTCATGCGGCTGGTTTTACCTAGGTTACTTCCGGTACAACAAGGACCCAAATTATTCTGATTTGTGTTCAGTTTTCCCAAATTAGGATCCTGGTTGATGTATTCAAAGCTGTCCTGCAAGCTAAATCCAGAGACAGGAAGGAAGAGAGAGTAGAAAAACATCAAAAAGATGAAAAAAACTGTTTTCTAACAAAGTCTAGATCACAGGCAACCCACCAGTTATTCAGACTTTTCTTTATAAATGAAAAAGTCTCACATCTACCAAAGAGAATTCAATTTAGGGGAATGTTTTGGAGGAAAAGACTAGAAAAGGTTTCTGGAAGTAGTACTACCTATAAAACTAAACAACACATTCCTAACCAGTTTCCACCAAACTATAAATTTTGCTTTGGTGACTGACACCTGGAATATTGTTATTGATTTCCAAATTTTGCTTTAGCGGTGAACATCCAAGATGTTACTGTTCATTTCAAGGGTAATTTTACATAAACTTTCAAAATGAATTAATTTTAACTCTTAGTTAACATCTATGAGCAATTTAGCAACTTTTTTCAGGAGGAGGATTTAATAGAAATTATGATTCCTATAGGACCTTGAGTTCACAATATCTAAAAAGTCAGTTACTCATAAACACAAATATGAGGAAAGAAGATACAATTTATTGTATTTATTAACAAGTAAAATAAGTACGAAGACTTTGAAGATAACAGAGCATAGTGAGGCCAAACTAAGTTTTACTTAAATTTGAGTTTGATATTCTATTATAGGGAGTTAGCATAATAAATGTTCAGGTAATATCAAGGGTCTGAAAAACAATATCTCACAAGAAATAAACAACAATTCCCACTGTCATGACAGTCCCGGTGTTAAATGTTCAACAAGTAAATTCATTATTTTGTTGAAGAGTAAGCAGACTTAATGGCACTCAAATCTACAAAGGAATATATTTTTCACTTTGTTTGTATAAAAATAAAGTTGTCATTTGACCCCTTAAAGTCCCTTTAATTTATAATAAACCTTCCTTCAAAGTTACCAAAGTATAAGAAATGTTTTGTTGTTTTATTCAAATATGAAATACACGAACTATTTCTGCTTGAAAAGTTCAAAATATATGACAAATGTACCAGAATGAGTTAACCTAGACATTTCAGTATTCTTAACCTGCACAGAAGTATAAAATTAGAGAGAAGAAAACTCAGGAGTGAAAGATCAAAATGTCGCACGGCTCCATGTTCCAACTAACCACAGAAGCTACACTGAGGGCTGACCAACCAGCAAGCAAAGACAGCCCAGCCTGCCGTACAGGTGCTCAGCAGAGTGGAAAAACTCACCACGGACCTCATTCCTTTAGAAATAATTAAGTTAACTAACAAACAAGTTTTAAAAAAAAGATAAAATAATATGGGGGAAATAGCATAAACTTATTAATGTACACTTTTTCACTTTCACTCTCTAGGGAATGAAAACTTGGAGACTGGCAGCAGGAACAGAGTAGGTGACAGATGGAGACCCAAAATATACAGATAAACGGTCATTTGTCTGTAAGGACACCTGACAAAGTCAAAGGCCTTTTCAGAGTCACTAGGTTACAGGAAAATGGCATTTTTTAAATCCCTTTGTTAATGGGGAGTCATACTGCATCTCATTTCAAAAGGCCTATGGCCCTCAAAGAATTATCATATCTAGAAATAGCCACTTAAAAAAATGGGGCAGGTGCAAAAATTCCACACTTACTTGTTTGTACTCCCACAGAAGCTGCCCATTCTGGCAGAGAAGACTTTACTAATCATCAGTTGTGGAGGAGAACTGGAAAAAAAGGAGGAAGAGAAATGCATTGTAGACTAAGGAGTCGGCATCCCCACTCGGCTTCTCACAATTCGGAGAACAGAGGCCTGCACTCACCGTATGTAGTGTATCTTTAAGGTGGAGCCTTGGTAACTCATGGCGACGGAGCCGAACATCATTTCCCCCAGCATGTTGACATCAGAAGCTGGTCTTGTGTACTACCATTCATGAGAGAAACCAAAACCAAAATTATTATGTGGCACAACATAATGTACAACACAAAGAAAATAATGTTTATTAATCTCTGGGTCCCTCTTTAAAGTAGTTTTTGAAGCGGCAACTGATCATCTTACAATCTTAATCAATAATGGTGATTGCCTAATTTCCCCCAAATTGTTATTATTATTATGCATGATTTCTTCCTTGTATACAATATCTTCATATGGAATCCAAGTGTTTCATCAAAGTTTATTTTTTATCCTGTTACAGGAAAAGAACACTTTCATTATATCCATTTATAAAATCTAAATAGAAAGATTAAATTGTGGAAAAAAATTGGGCAACTCCTCTCTTGGTACTAGGAACACATTCTAAAAATAAATATGGTTCAGTATCATTCAACCAAAAAATTATGTGTTGAACAAAAATGCCATTTGGTGCAGGCAGGGTTCCGATAAAGTCCAAAAGATGACAGATGGCTTGATGCCTCTGAAGTTCTACAAAACTATTTCAAAAATATCTGACCCCTCTACCTTCTGACCAGTCCTTCTCATCCTTTTGTCATTCAAAAGGGTGGCCTGTGCTGCCTCCACTTTCCCTACTTTCATTTGCTTGCTAACCTATCATAGCCTCATCTGTTCAAGCTGCTCACGTAATGACCTTTGCCTTCCTGTCAAATTCAATGCACACTTGTCAGTTTGCTTTCTTAATGTCTCTCACGATATCTGATGTTCTTAATTACTCTCTGAGTCTCTTCTTTCCTAGATCATCCCTTGAACAGGGCTGCTCCTCAGAGGGCACTTCCTCCTCTTTGTCTGCAGTCTCAAAGTCTTGATGATTTTATTACTCTTTACATAGAAATACCCACCACATCTTTTATCGATAGTCCCACACCTCTTCTTTAGCTCTAGAATCCTATATCCAAACATTCATTCATATATATTGGAATATTATAAATATATCGCGGTATGTGAATGAATGTATTTGGATATAGGATTCTAAGCACATATCCTAAGAGTCAGTGACACACTGACGAGCATGACAGATATGAGTGTCAACCAGAAAAATGTGCCCCCAGCATGCGAGCACAGCCTGGCCCCAGCAAGACAACCATCTCTCGATGACTGCTCACGTAATGACCTTTGCCTTCCTGTCAAATTCAATGCACACTTGTCAGTTTGCTTTCTTAATGTCTCTCATGATATCTGATGTTCTTAATTGTGTGTGTGGGGGGGGCAGTAGAAGATAGAGATTAGGGTTATCAGGAAATGTTGGCCAGGTTCTCTGCTATTATGCTTTCCACCCAAGCAAAAACATGGGAATCATCCTAACTCTCTTCTCAATCTCTTTATTTTTTAACTCAAATACATTCACACACACACACACACACACACACACACACATATGTACTTACACATGTTGCAAAGGAGGAAAGAGAAATATAAATCTATCAGCCTTGTTGAACTAGGCACCTCTCTGCTTGGTTATAGCTCACACCAACTTCTCAACACATGCAGACAGAAACCACCTGGCTTTCACATTCTTTAACTTCCACCCACCATCTTCATTTTATAATCTGCTTTTTCTTAGATACAAGGTCCACATGCCAACTGTGAGTCTCACTCTGGATGAAAATTTCACTCTGTACTTTTTAAATCACAAAGTGTTTTGACACCCAGAAGCACTGTGCTATAAAGGCAAATGCATGGCACAAATCTGGACCATGAAATTAACCAAGTTCTATAGACCCGTGTGGATGCTGGTAATTTATCTGGCTTTGCTTGTCTAGCAACCCAGTAGTTGCTAGACAAAATTCCACATGAAAAAAAAACTGATATAACCTCCATCAGGTAATACCCTTCTGCTATTCAATATTTATGAAACATTCTTCTCTTCTATCTAGTTAGCCAACATTTCCTGATAACCCTAATCTCTATCTTCTACTGTCCCCCCCCACACACAATGCAGAAAATGCTACCAGTCCTTTATTCTTCACACTCGAGTTAGATCTTTCCATTTCTTCCTTCTCCCTGTACAAGGTTCTCCTTCTTCTAGAGGCAAGAATCCTTAGAGTTCTTATAACAAAACTGGAAAATAGACGTTTATTAATCTGGTTCTGACAACAAAGGGTTTCCTTTATTTGCATATTTCTTCCTCATCTGATATGTATTTTGCTGGATCACTTCTGCTCAGGTTATAATTTTCACTGAGAGATAAAAGCTAACTGTGAAAACGTACTGACAAGAAACATTTCAGGGCACGTTTTAAAATCCTTGTTCTTGTATTCCTGGAGCAGAACCCTCAAACAGGCATTATTCCCCATGGAAAAATTACAGTAAATGACTTTAGTCCCATGGGGTTTTCCACAGAAGGGACGGTTCTACCTGGTACTTTGGAAGCTGCTCCTTTGCATGTTGTGAAGACCCTCCAGAATTGTGGGAAGAGAAGCTGCTCCCGCTGCTGCTGCCGTTACAGCACTTGGCTGGCGTCTTAATAGGGACATCCTCCGTTTCCTAGGTGAGGACAGATGGGCAGGGTGAAGTACCGCTAAGTGCATCAGGCTTCCTCAACACATTCTTCAATGCATTCGATGCAGACACCTTTGCTAAATCCCTCTGTTATGTTGTACATAAGATGTATAGTACACTGGGAACATTTTTTTTCTTTTTTAATGAGTTTAGAAATGTGGTTCCTCAGAGTCTGTAGTATTTGGGAGGAGGGGATGCTGATAAACAGTACTAGACAGAAGGTGGTAGGCTAGGTAGCAAAACTTTATCCCCCTTAAATAATTCAACTATGATTTGTATTTCAATTCATATCCTGAAACCATCAGTGAGATCTGATCCCTGTTTTGCTAAGAGTTTTTATTGCTAGGTAGAGTCATCATCTATAAAATTGATGAGGAGAAGACACTGCTTCAAATTTTAGTTTTTATCAAGCAAATGGAACTCAGGAAGCAAAACTATTAATAATGAAAGACTGGGCTTGTGTTTTTAATGACACACCTCCTCTAGCATTCCTTTGCGAATACGAAAGAAATCCTGAGGTCAAGTGTATGAAAGGTGAAGCCAAAACTCTGAAATAAGAGCTCCCACAAATTATACATCATGTGATGGAAGTATGGCCTTTAAAGATTAGGGATAATAGAGAATTATCTATTGTATATTCCCTAATTAGAGTTCACTGCTAATTTTTTTGACAGTGACATAAAAGGTATAAAGATACACTTTGTTAATTTTTCCCTTCCTACTACACCAAACTATATTACTCCCTATAGAACCATCCTGTGTCCTCTGTAATAAGTTGTTTCTATTCTGGGGCTTATTTGTTTTTTTTGAGTGTGCAGCTTTTGCTTGAAAAAACATGAATGCAACTGCAGCTTATCTAATCTCCAACGTGACAGTCACAATGGTGGTCTAATGCAAATGCATGCAGTCATGTGCCTGATGCAAACTCATGACATTTTGTGCTTGCCAAGGGACTGGGGAGCTGAAAATGGGACAGGAATGTAAGGAAAACACAAATTACTGGTCCATAACAGTCCCTCTAGCAGCGATGGCATTCAAAGCTGTGCTCAGTTATTCCTGGGCAAATGGCACTCCCTCACATCCTCTTCTGATCTAGCTGTTACTCATACCATGGAAGCAGAAACAGTCTCTTAGAGGCCTCAAGTGACACAAAGTTCACATCTGCCTTCCAGACTGCTGGACCCTTTGGCTGGGGTATAACATACTAGGTCATCTATAATTGGAGACAGTACCTGCTACATGGAGCAGAGCACCAACGGGGCTCTTTTTGTAGTTTTGGGGAAATTACAAACCTCCCTGCACCTAGCTGACTTTGAATAGATGAGTGCTTCCAAGAAAGCTTACATGCCAGATTCCAGTGTCATCACTGCTCTGATTTAGGGAAATTCCAGTTCCTTTTGAAAACCGGTGAGAATTTTTTTCCCGTTACCTGTTACCACCATTAGGAGTGTGGGTGTTCCAACTAAACCATCTGTGCAAAGTCTTCAGGGACACAGGAAGTGATGTGGGAAATCAAGGGAAAACACGTCCTGTCCACCAAAAGGTCAAGTGCTGGCTTACCTAAACTTTGATATACATCTACCACTAAAGCCTACAGACGAATCACCTGAGAGCTACCGCCAGCCCCCCACCTACCTAACAAGCCCAACAACTACTGTAATGATTAGCTACCTGGCAGACTTCCACTTTAAAGCACTATGGAATCCACCTAACTAAATTGCCTTTACCAAATGCTTCCTTCCTGCAGAAATAATCCTCGTCAAAAGCAGGAAAACAGCCCCTTGGCCCTGATAAGACAAAGCCTGTGGTATAAACGACTCACTTACTTAGCTACACATTCTGTAAACTGCCAGAATGTGGTCAGTATGGGTAGCAAGTTATTGAACATGAAAAGAATGAATACAAGAAGGATTTGTTTAATTTGCAGACAACTGAGTAACTACTGAAAAGAGAAAGAGAAGTCTAAAGGGGACAACTCAGAAGTGTCCTGAGCTGCCGTCCAGAAGACCCAAGGGGGACAGACTGCCCCTCACCTGGACATGCCCCTTTCCCATTCTGGCTCCTTTCAGTCTTCGCTTTATCCATCCCCAGGGCCTCCCCACTATGCCCCACTCCACCAACCACCATCCCACCCTCTACCAAGAAAAGGAAATAAATATAAATGCTGTCTTGGTCAGATAGGTTTGTAATGCACTGCCTTTCAAAGATGACAATGCAGGTTAGCCCACTGAAGCCCTGTAATGAGGAAAGCTATTTAATTTTGCTTAACCCAGTGCTATGGAATACCTCTTACGATCTATGAGAAGTAACAGACAGAATGATCTATTAAGTTCCCTTCAAGATAACACTTCATCATTTTAGAGTTCTCAGTTCTCCCCTTACAGAATACATATTTGGCATTAAAATACTGGTTTGCAAATCACCAGCAAATTCACCTCTAGTAGTATTTACAATACAGTGCTGAGCATCTGTCATGATTACTTGGTAGTAGTTTCACCTGTTATATTAAAGAGCACACAAATGTGGCAGGGGGAGGGGGGCTTTGGTTATGTTTCTTCTTAACTGGTAATGGCACTGTACAATATAGCCCAGAAAGAATTATGGATTAATAATTCTAAGTATAGATTAATAAATGATTGATCAGAGAGGTGGTTAAAAGTACATACAAAAAAGACGAAAGCAAATCAGCATTTCATACCTGAGCTGCCACCTCTTCAATCTTGTGAACAGCTTTAGAATCAAACAGGACTTGTCTGCCCCTCCTTTCACAGTCCTGGTAAACTATCAGGCGAATCTCATTCAGGTCAAACTCTGAACATGACCAACTGTGGATCAAAAAGGGAAAAATAAGTTGTTACCTGCAACACTTGGACTGATCATGCAGAGGTGAGTTTCCCAGCCCATGTGTCCGCGTCATGTCGGGGTGCAGAGATATTGACCCCATCAGGCCTGGGGAGGAGAGCCTTATCTGTGAACTCCAATGGGTTCATGACAAAGGCTGGGAAGACTTCTAAATAAATCACTGGAGTGACAGCTTCTCCTTTCAAAGCCATTTTGGGCAACACTGGCAGGCAGATTACAGGGATGTGTGGAGATGCCTCAGTGTGGATGCCTGTGTCCTGGGGACGGCACAGCTGAGGTGCAGGAGTAGTTGAGCTTCTGGGTCACTGGGCAGACAACCGTTTGGAACAAGAGAGGTGAGTCCTTCCCTGTCCTCTCCCACCTTGCCAGCTCAGGTCAAATCGAAAGGAATTGCATACCCTAAAATTTAGCATTTTCCTGTTATGCCTGGCTCTGATATAAAAGTTTTAAAAACAAAGTGCATCATTGTATAGCATCTGAATTGCTAAAAATAACAATCAGCAATAAAGGAAGCATGGCTTATTCCTAATCCAACCCAAAGCCTCTGGGATAAAACTGCTTGAAACGTAGGTTTGTTCTTGAGTAATAAATGAAATCAGAATGAAAGATCTATAGAAAGAGTCATCATTTAAAACACACTGCTTTAGGCCTATTCAGTTATTAGTCTGTTAATCCACTCAGCACACACTGGAATGCCTGTGGGACTCCAGGCACTCCAGTCAGCAGTTAGTTAACTAAACAGATTGGTCGCTGCCCTCATGGAGAACATGGTTCAGTGGGAAACACTGGGCTAACAATCTATACAACTAAAGATTGCCTGAGGTGCACAAAGGAAAAATAAAGGATGTGGTACAAGCCTCATATTTTCAGTTTTAAGGGGTGAGGGGGGTGGTAGGGAAGTTCCTAGGGATCTGAGGAAGTGACATTTAAACTTGAAGTTAAGGGTTAAATAGAGCACAATAGGAAGACGGAGAGGCATGGTAAAATGTAGGATTGATGCAATAAAGAAAAAAAAGAGTGAGAGAGCAAGGGGAGGCTGGGCAGGTTGAGAGGGCGGGCAGGGGCGGGCGCCAGGCCCTAAGCAGTAAGGAGCCAAAGTGAACAGGATTGGATAAACCCAGGTCTACACTTTTTAAAAGTTCTCTGGCTCCTCTACAGAAAACAAGGGTGGGACAGATTAAGACTGGAAACAGGAAGCCCACATAGAATTTATTATGAATTTAGGCCCTTCATAATGAAGGCTGTAGTGGTAGCTATGTAGGCGGAGGAAGGGGGACAAGTAGTAGAGGTGTGGTCAGGAGGCCCAGAATTGGTGAGGTTTAGTGGGAGACTGGGTGGGTGCCTAAGATCAAAGAGGTGCCAACTGCTTAGAGAACGCTGGAGGCTCAGCAGTTCTGAAGGGATGGGCGGTGGATGGCTTGGCAGACAGACTGACCAGAGCAGACAGTAGAATTAAGAGGCAGTATAAGTGAAGTGAAGTCGGATGCATCTGGATTCAAATCCAAGTTCCCTGAGCTCCCATTTCTTCAGCAGCACAATGAGCATGTTAATGCCAACCTCACAAGGCTGCTGCAGGAATCAAATGAAGCATGTAAAGTGCTTCCATAGATGTGGACACACACTAAATGCTCTAAAATAGTAATTACTTAAGAGAAATGTTAATGCTATGAGTTTCTAAAAAATGGATAAAGTGTCTGGTAGCCAATCACAGCCTGTGCAGAGGCCATCCATTTTTCCAGGACTAACCAAGCAGACATGACCCCATGATCTGCAGCTAGCCTGTGAGAACCAGTCCCTGGACTTAGTTGCTCAACTGGTAAATGGTAACCCTGGAGTTGCTGGCACCTATTTTTTGCCATTATGAGGTGACAGCCCATCTGAAAATGAAGTCAACTTGGAGGAAAGCAGAGGTGAGCAATGGAATGAGACAGATTTCTGTTGGCAACTGAAGCCGGCTACTCCTGAATGAGGGCTATTCCTGGACTTACTTTTCTGTCACTGAAAATCAAAGAAGTCCTGAGGACCATGCCCCAAGCCACTAAATTTTAAAATTACTCAAGATCATTAAAAACCACCTCCAAAATTACCCAAACAGGTTGGAGTTATTAAAAATGAAAAATCAACAAAGATTTCATTGTGTTATGTTTTCTCGTTCAGTCTGTTTTGTCCCAACAATTACATTTTATCAAAATACATTATAATTTACAAAGCAAGTTGTTCAATTCTTATTTTTTAGGGCTAACACTGACTCAGATATCAATGAGGCTGAGGACAGCCTATGTTGAGAGTTAAAACTTAATAATGCTTATAATACCTTATTAAATGTTTCATGTTATTTTTCAGTTTTAAAAAGATGGAAATAAAAGAAATGGGAAGGAAAAACTATATATGTCAGATTTTCCAGTCTTTTGACCTAAGTGCCTTAAAAAATACTTTATAAAATATGAGGAAAATTATTCTCCTTCTTCCATCTGAATACTGTCTTTGGTTTAACACTTAATTATAATCTTGACATTTACCATCACTAATATTAGCAGAGAAAATTATAGTTGAGTGATTTGGTAAAGGAAATATAGGCAGGACAAAGATGACATGAGCGCTTTAGAGTAAGACAGGCCTGGGACCAAATCTCAGCTCTGCCTCCCACTGGTTGTGCAGCCTTGGGAAAGTCATCCCCCCACTGCACCCCCACCGCCAACCCATAGCACCTGCAGGCATGTTGGGAAGATTAAAGGAGAAAATCCATGGAAATCTCCCAGAACACTCTCAGCTATCTTCCCTACCATCCTCCATATCCAGGGTTTGAGTTATTCGTACTCACATGCTACATCTATTCTCTTCATGTTCACATTCACTTCAACATTTAACCAACAGTTAATGTGGAGCTTCTATGAGCACTGACTGTGTTCCTGGCGCTTTACTAAGGGCAAATGTCTCTATGATTGAGGGTAACTCTCACGTGATTCAAAAAGGTATAAAAAGCCTTGGGCTTTTGCCTTAAAATATCTATTTTAAAGACATTAACTGTAATCTGAGCTACCTCGTCTTTGCTTTTGTTGAAAGCAAGGGAAGAACACTAGTCCTGGCATCAGGGGACACAGTATTATCTACTTTACGGTCACAGCTGTATGACCTGAGGCATAAGAAAATAACATGATTTGTCTACATTTTCTTACTGTAAATTTTAAACAAAAAGGCTTGTATGGGCCCTTTTAGGTTTTCAAACTCCATGATGCTAAGATTTCCCTGGTTGGAACTGAAGCCTGGTCTTATTTCTGAAACTACTCATCAGGAACTGGAAGCAAGTGACCAAAGTCTAAATTATTTACCCAAAAGGCAGCAAGCAATAGTTCAAATGATTTTAAGAAGAAAAAACAGAATTCTCTTTAAAATACATGTAACAGTGTGTTGTGGAGAACTGTAACCCCCCAGAAAGATATCTTTGATTCCTAATTCCTAGTACCTATGAATATGACCACTGTTTGGAAACAGGGTCTTTGCAGGTGTAACCAAGTTAAGATGAAGTCATACGAGATTAGGATATTACATGAGGATTAATCCAATGAGTGGCACCCTCCTAAGAGGGAAACATGGCACCAACACAATGGCAAGGTGGCTACATGATGACAGAGATGGAGAATGGAGTCACGTGGCTACAGGCCAGGGAAGGCCGAAGAATGCCGACACTCAGGAATACAATGACGAAGAAGCATGTAAATCCCTATTCTCAAGGAACTTAACATGTAGAAGACACAATCATGTAAATAACTACAGGAAAACAAGAGGGCAGGGCAGAATACAGGAAGCAAGAGAAGAAATGAGAAATGCCTGGAAGAAGCAATATTTGAACTAACGAAGTCAGGAGGAATGGCAAGGATCAGACATAACGAGGAACAAGGTGGAAAGTCACTGCAGATCGAGGGCACAGCACAGCCTGAAGAGTCAAATGGTACAAAGTCGAAGTTTTGGGTGGTTGGAATATGTCTGCTGCAGAAGAATTACCCAGGAAATAAGACAGGAGGACAGTTTAGAACTACCTGTGAAGGACCTCGAATGCTAGGACAAGGAACCCGTGTGCTCCAAGCAGTGTGCATGTACCATTCCTACTTTTGGAGGAAGGGAATGACATGATCCGACCTTGTTATAGGAGAGAACTGAAGCTGTTCGAGAAAACCATTTTCAGGGCAAATGGAGAAGTGGTACTGACTCACATACTCAGGGCTTCAAGGGCTCATGGCTGATAAGGATGAGAACAGTCGTATGACTTGTGGGGTGATTTGCTACATCCTCCAAGACCAGTTCTAGTGCTCGTGTTTGATGTCTCCCTTGCACTTTTACAGGAATCAGGCTAGACCTGGCTGGGCTCATGCATACCCATGCTGAAACATGATCTATGGCAGAATACTTCAGAAATGTTCTCTTCTTACTCTCCCATGAGGAAACAACCCACGTAGTCAAATGTAAAGAACAGTCTGTGATCCGAATGTGAATGTTTAGAGTTAGGTAGCACAGGGAACTTTAAATGGTCCCAGAAAAGGGAAAATAAAACAAAACAAAAGGTAAAATTAAAAAAAACACACAAAAACCTAACAAAACCAATAATGATCCAATGAAAACTGGCAAATAACTCTCCATTTAATAAGCAGCTCCGGCATGACTATGATGTGCTAAGCATTCTTCCAGGCCCTGGTGTAAAGAAGTGAACAAATCATAACTCCTGCTCCAATAAAACTTAGTATATTATGACATTTTCCAGCTACTCTTAAACACTATTCTATGTTCTTTTTTCTACCAGTTCCCACCACTCTTCTTTTCTTTCTCAAAAATGTTTCTAAATGCAAATAGAAACCCTCTCAAAAGATTTGTTCAAGAATAATGAGGAGAACCCAATGATTATTACATGAAAGTAAAAGAAAACTAGGGATGGAGGGAAATGGAAAACTATGCCTGAGATGGCAATCAG